AAAATTCGTCAGGCCCGCAACTAGACCCGCGGCTTGCAATCGTGTTAGCATTTTTCTGCCCGCAGCCCGCATTTTTCTGCCCGCAGCCCGCATTTTTTGGCCCGCAGCCCGCAATTTTTGGCCCGCAACCCGCATTTTTCGGCCCGCAGCCCGCATTTTCGGCCCGCAGCCCGCAACCCGCAGAATAGTTAAACTCAGGTTAACGTACTGTTGTTGTTCGTTAAGTATTTCCTTAATGTTTTCGTAAATTTCTTTAGCTATATTAGTTTTTAATCAGTGTCACTCAAATATTTTACTTTCTTTCCTTCCTATCCAATTCATGTTTTGCCGACTACGAAAACAATTTGGCGACAATAATTTTTCGACTACCTGACGACTGGGGGGTGTTCCATCTCCACACCCCACTTCCACCCTTTTTTAGCGCCGGCCCTGGGTACATGCACCAGCCCTTGTGCCACTAGACTTGCTCCAAGTCTCTCTTTCATTGTCATATAGTATCGGTCCACTATAGTGTACATTACATGAGACTTGTCAACTTCGGAAAATCTCGGTTCAAAACTGAACCGAAAATGCAAGACTTGCTTTAATTGTTTTCTGTCAGTGTTTATATGTATTGATCTAGCACAGTGTAAATAACATGAGTTCCATATATAGTAAATAATACAGAAAGAAATTGAAGGAAAACAATTAAAGCAAGTCTTGCATTTTCGGTTCAGTTTTGAACCGAGATTTTCCGAAGTTGACAAGTCTCTTTCTCGCTCCGCCTCTCCGTGCTACGTCATGTAATGTACACTATAGTGGATCGATACTATATGACAATGAAAGCGAGACTTGGAGCAAGTCTATTGTGCCACCAACCTTCTGATCAATCTTACCAATCCTACTAAACGCATAGCAAAACATTTCATCTTACCATTGAAAATATAAACATCGTTCGCCCACTCCCCTCCTTTTCCATCCTTGCAATTTCTCGCCAGGCCGTGGATCTTGTAAGTTTCGTGAGCTTTGGGTCCAGATAGACACATGCCGCCATTTTGAATGGCGAATAATTGATAGCCTCGACTGCGAGCTATTGCGGCACACTTTGTTATCGGCTCCTGTCTCTGCTTGTAGAATCCAGTCAGGTCTGGGTCTGAACCTACACACGTCAAAACGCACAAGTTGTTACAGGTCTGCAAACAAGTTGTTACAAATCTGTTCAAAAACTGTCTACAAGTTGTGTTCGCACTGTTTGTTCCCAGTTGTTGTATTATAACATGTTTGGAACAAGCTGTTAACAACTTTTAGTATAATTACAAGGTGATTATTGAAAATTCTCCACGCTGATTGGTTGCCGTTGAGGTGATTATTACGCGATAATCACCTAAGCGATTTTCAAAATGGCGGCCGAAGCCTTTTTGTCAATTAAATGACAAAGAAATGTGTACTTTCTTATTTTTTTCCAAATAATTACCTATGAAATTATACTAAAACAATTATTCACCTCAGGCTCGGTGATTATCGTGAATAAAAACCTCGACTTCGTCTCGATTTTTATTCACCGATAATCACCTCGCCTTCGGCGAATAATTGTTAAGTATATAACAAGCTTGATGGCATTATCGGACTTGTTACAAGATTGTTCTAACAAATCTGATCCAGTCATGATATAACAAGAATGTTACAAGGTTGACAACTAAAGGTTGTAACAATATTGTTATATCATAACTGTTTATCGGACTTGTTGGGACAACCTTGCAAGAAGTCTGATAATATCGACAAAGTTGTTACAAATTGTTCCATACCTATTGAAAACTTGGAACAGGCAGTGCGAACACAACTTGTTGGTCGGTCCAGTCTCATTTCAAAAAAGAGATCTGTCAATCGACTATATCAACCAATCGGAATTTTGCATTGTGTGGACAACGCGTATTTCGTTCCTGGATGCGTTGTCTGCAGTCCCTCCTTTCTTTCTAAAGAGGGACTTCTCGCAGTCTACCAACTCTAATGCTCGTTTGGGCAACGAACATTCTTACCTTCCAATGATGGTAGAGCTCTGCTCTCAGTGTCTTTATAACAACCAGAATTACGAAATCCTTGATTGGTTTGAAATTCACTCGACTGATCGCCAGGGTTACCTTTGGCTTGAGCGAGAGCAGCTTGTGAAGAAGGGGTTGTAGTGTCTAAAAATCGTTGTACGCGATATAATAGAATGTTAAGCCTGCTTCAACTCAAAGTTTCTGTGATCACAGTAGGAATTTTTCATAGGTAAATTCTAAGTTTTGAAGGATTTGTAAGAAAAGTTTGTGGGAACTGGCTTAGTGTTAAACACTGAGTCAGTTTCCTCAAAACATTTCTTGCAAATCCTTCAAAACTTAGAATTTACCTATGAAAAATTCCTACTGTGACTTTGAGTGTGAAGCAGGCGTTACTGGCGAGTTTTTTTTGTTTCAGTATTTCGATGGTTTGGTTTTCAGTAAATCCTACCCTACGGGCGGAAATATGTTTATGGCGTGGTCACAATTTCGGATAACTTCCAGGTCTAAAGTGACAACATATTCCATTAGCCATTCCGAAGTTGATGAGAGAACTGGGTACGAGTATTAAAAAGTGCCCAAATTAAGAAATGGACCGAATAACTAAAAAGACCACCTCAAAATTAGTAAGTATACAAAGTTTGAAGACGTTTATATGAATACCCTTCGAATAATAAGCTTTCGAAATTGTGATATTTACTATGAAATGTATTGTAATTTTTGTTTTGGGGGACGCGCGTCCCAAAAACAATCTTTTTATCAGTAATTTCACAATTTTCGAAAGCTTATTATTCGAAGGGTATTCATGTAAACGTCTTCAAACTTTGTATACTTACTAATTTTGAGGGTGATCTTTTTAGTGATTTGGTTCATTTCTTAATTTGGGCACTTTTTAACACTCGTCCCCAGTCCCCTCATCAACTTCGGAATGGCTCATTGCAGTCGCTTTGCCCGCGCGGGCGGAGCGAACATGACTGAACTTCCTCTGTAGTTGTCTATAACCTGTGCATTTTTTGTCCGCCTGACCGCTCGCGGACACGCCATGAAAGTAGAACTACATTCAACTTTCTTGACGTGCCCGCGCGACTGATTTTTCACGTGATTAAAATTGCTCGCTCCACCCTCGCAGGCAAAGCGACGGCAATGGAAAATTGCCTTAATGTAAGCAAAAAATGGAACAAAAGCAACTAAGCATTTAAATTATATATGTGAGTGAATAGATACAGTTCGATGCTTATTAGTCACCACCGTTCTGTAATTTCATTACGGTTATGCAAAATGAAATTACCAAAACTGCAAATGTTGTTGCTGGATATTTTATTCTGTCTATTTTAACTGATTTGTGCAGCATATTGTCAAAGCGGAATATAATATGCCGGTGTCGTGTTAACAGTTGAAACCGTGATGATTTTCTGCCGGCAGAATTCCATGCCGGTATCGTGTGAACGGGGTCTTAGTCGAGATATTAGAGACCTTACGATTTTAGGACGGCAACGCGACGGCAACGGCTACCAATACAATAGATCATTGAAAAGAATTGAGTAAATACAATATATGAATAATTTAGACATTGTCCTCGCTCTGTTTACAACGCTAAATCACAGATTTTCACGTCGTGATACAACGACTGCATTCCAAGCCACAACAAGTGCAACTTCAAACTGGGTTTAGCAGCCTCTTCCCAACTAAAACCCATGTCTTTAACTTCTAAAACTGTATCAAATTCATACCATTGATATATACGACGAACTATCTTTACTACCATTTATTTGAAGGAGTTTGTTTTGGCCGTCGCCGTCGCGTTGCCGTCCTAAAATCGTAAGGTCTCTAATTCTTGAGATCGCTGACTGACTTTCCCACGTGATATGACCAGGGAACTCAAAAGGATACCAGTTTGTGTACATACGTAAAAACGCAGGTATAAGTATGTACAAGCGTAAAAATCTCACATCTTGTAGCAAGTCTGCCAACAAGCCGTCAAGAAGTTTGGAACAAGCTGTTAACAACTTGTAACAACCTTGTTGATACTATCAGACTTGTTGCAAGGTTGTTCCAGCAAATCCGGTACAGTCATGATATAACAATAATGTTACAACCTTGTGTCATCAACCTTGTAACTTTCTTGTATGATTGTATCGGACTTGTTAGAACAATCTTGTAACAAATCTGATAATGCCATCAAGCTTGTTACAAGTTGTTAACAGCTTGTTCCAAACTTGTTGCAACAATTGGGAACAAGCAGTGCGAACACAATGTGTTGACAGCTTGTGAACAGATATGTAACAACTTGTTTGCAGACTTGTAACAACTTGTGCGTTTTTACCTTGTGAACATAAGTTCTTATAGGTCCGCAAACAAGTTGTTACAAAACTGTTCACAAGCTGTCGACAAGTTGTGTTCGCACTTCGCACTGCTTGTTCCTAGTTGTAACAAGTTTGGAACAAGTTGATAGCATTATCAGACTTGTTACAAGGTTGTTCTAATAAGTCTGATGCAGTCATAACAAGAATGTTGCAAGGATGATCGACGACACAAGGTTGTAACAGTTTTGTTATATCATGATTGTATCGGACTTGATGGAACAACCTTGCAACAAGTCTGATAATATCAACAAGGTTGTCACTTGTTAACAGCTTGTTTCAAACTTGTGGACAACTTGGGACAAGCAGTGCGAACAACGCAAGCAGACTTGTAGCAATACTGTTCAAACAACTTGTCAACAGGATGTGTTCACACTGCTTGTTCCCAGCTTGTTGACAACTTGCTACAAGGTTGTTGAGCTCAACAGACATGTTACACTTTTTCCAACAACTTGTTATCGTCGTGCAATTCAACAATATGTCAACCGAGTGACAACCTTGTAGTGCAACTGAATAAAATAACTACATTGTTACAACTTGTTGATAAGCTTGCTACAAGCCTGTTTCAAACACATCTTTGTGAGATTTTCACGTATGTAGTGTTGGCGTGGGATATAGTTCAAGCATGATCACTTATAACAGGCAGAATTTTTTTACCTTGAACAAATGTTTGACCAATCTTCACACCATTCCCCAGAAACTGTCTCTTGTGTGCTCGCTTCGACAACTCGGGTTTCTTTAAACTCCGACCTTCTCGAAATATGATAATCCATTTAACAACTATACGATTACACGTGTATAATTAAAGGTGATCTACAGTCCGTATGTAAACAAAGCCTTTGTTTACATTTTTGTGTCCAAAATATTGAGCTTTATTCGACAACTATTTATATTTTCAAGCTTCTAGAGTATAATAAATGATCAAGAAACAACAATCAGGCTTTTCAAGAACTCAAAACATAGTTAAACTGTTTGTATCATAAAAAGTGGGCTCATTTGTGCACATGCGCAGATCGGACTGTAGATCACCTTTAAATTAAAGGCTGGTTTACAATGTTTCTGTGATCACAGTAGAGATCTTGCATTAGTAAATTCTAACTTTTGAAGGATTTGTAAGAAATGTTTGATGGAACTAACACAGTGTTTTAAAAACACTAAGTCAGTTACAGTCAGCTCTGCAAACATTTCTTATAAATCCTTCAAAACGTAGAATTTACCTTTACTATATAGCAAGTGTGATGGAGAGGCAGTTGCTCCGATTGCCCCCAATTACCCTCATTGCCTTTACCTCAATTAGACAATTTGCCGGAAATTCAGGGAAACTTTGCCCCCTCCCCTCACGGAAAAAGTGCATTTCCGACACTGTTGAAAGTGAGATTTTCCATGGTTTCAACAAGATTGGCAGCATTATACTAATAATACCCAGCATTCTGCTTTAAATTTATCACAGGGATAAATAACTTGTGGGAGAGTCAAGCCCGAGCTGGGATTCCTACTTCTGGGCAATTCTAATTGGTGTGTCTAACACAGGGCCTTTTTAGTTAAGAATTCGTCCGCGGGGGAGGGGGGGGCATTTACAAAAGGGACCATACTATACTGAGTGTGGAGAGATGACAGATAGCTGTTTGGTGACAAAAATGTTTGGTGTGGTGTCGTATGGGGGTATTTTCCCCATGAGAACATTTCTGTATTTTTCCACCCCTGGAATTGCATTTCGTGCGTTTTCTGAAACAGATTTTTTTATATACAGGGTGTATAAAAAAACTGCACAGATTTGAAATTGCTCTTAAATTCGCAAAACAGCTATTAGTATCCAGTTTTTTATGTATATAGTTTCTTTGGGTACTTATAATGTAGAAAAATGGAAAAAATTTCTCGAACTCAAATTTTGTAAACCAGGGGGGGGTGTCTTTTCCAACAAACTAAAAATGGCTTGCGCACGAAATTTAAAAGCTTTAATCATATTTTGAGTTGATATATGGAACATTTGTTGGGTTTTTAATTATTGTACAAAATTTCAGACGATTTGCTTTAGTTTAAGCCCCTTTAACTATTCATTTTTCTCTAAAAAATTATAGTCTTTCGCATGCTTAATTAATGCCTTTACCTAATTTACATATTGCTGACATATGCAAATTAGGCAAAGGCATTAGCATGCAAATGGATGATTTTTAAAGAAAAAAATGTAAGTTTGCGTGAATGGTTAAAGGCGTAAACTGAAGCAAATTGTCTGAAATTTTGTACAGTAATTAAATACCCAACAAACTTTCCATCCGTTAACTTAAAATATGATTAAAGCTTTTAAATTTCGTGCGCAAGCCATTTTTAGTTTGTTGGAAAAGACACACACCCCTGGTTCACAAAATTTGAGTTCGAAAATTTTTTTCCATTTTTCTACATTATAAGTACCCAAAGAAGCTATATACATAAAAAACTGGATACTAATAGCTGTTTTGCGAATTTAAGAGCAAATTTCAAATCTGTGCAGTTTTTTTTATACACCCTGTACAGCGTTTAGATAATGTAAAATTGTGAGTAAATGTTTATCAAAACTTGATGTGACATGCGTTGCACCTTATCTACAGAAGCGACTTCAATTTGAATCCCAAATGAGAATAATTTCAATATACACATCAGACAATAGCTTTATATGCAATGCCCAATGGTGGAAAAAACGCGATTTCGAGCGGCATTTTTAAATCGCATCGTATTTGACTATTTTTTATCGCAATGATACAAGAAAGGTGTCATTCGACAGCTAAAAGCCTGATCTTTATTGGTATGAAAAGAGTAAATGGATAAACGTAATAATATATAATGCACGATAACATGCCAAAGTTCGGATTACCTTTTTTTATACACCCTGTCGTGGGGGATGCCATGCACTATAAGGTATGGGAAAATATCGTGATTTTTTTTGCATCTCTCGATATTTTCCCGATGTAAATTAGTCTAGATCCATCTTGTCTTTTGCGTAATTTATGCAAATCAGTCTTTCCTGATTTTAGAGATATATCGACATTCGTTTGACATCGACCGCTTATTACGTTAACGAAAGTTACGACTAAGACTGCCTGCCTTACAATCACCGCGAGAGTCTGCCACAAACGACCTGTACTTTAAAATTGTTACTTTTTAAAATTGTTTAGACTTCAAACATAGGGCATATATACCTGTTGTCACTTGTTGCGAACAGTAGAGAGTTGTAAAGATACCGATGAAACTCCACAGACGGGATAATTTCATTTTTGTTTAACGGAGATAAAATACGTCCATATTAAAACAAAGATATAAAATCGTTTTATCAATCATCTTGATTTTAATTTCGGTGTTATTATTACGATTACAATAATTAAAGTTTGGCAGGTACTTTATGCGTGGATGATTCGCATCTTAAATATTATACAATTTGACATTTAGTCAACAATTTGATATTTAGTCAGCAAACTGTCGTAACCTCTACAGTTTAAAACTGTGGCAATTGATGCAGCAGAGCGAAATCTTAATTTAAAGACAATTAGACAAAAAGCAGAGCCCAGCAAATAACTTTAAAACCAAACAGTAGAGCTAACGTTTAATAGCTAACGTTTCGTTGTTTACGTAATACAACATCTTCAGAGCAATCTAAATCAATCTATACAATTATACAATCTAAATCAATCTATACAGTTTACTCTATATAAATTTGATGTGTAAAACATCTGTACATATAGCAATCCATTTCTATCATTCATAACTCGTTAGACTCTAAGTGTGTCTTTTACAATGGCTGATTAGCTCGAGCTTCATGTTTTACATAATGAATACACAGTCCAGCTCATTTCGAGATCAGTGAGGTCGTTCCGTACATGTATTAGAGACCTTACGATTTTAGGACGGTAAGTCGGTAACGCGACGGCAACGACGCCCAATACAATAAATCATTGAAAAGAATTGAGTAATTACAGTATATGAATAATTTAGACATTGTTCTTCGCTCTGTTTACAACGCCAAATCACAGATTTTCACGTCTTGTTACAACGACTGCATTTCAAGCCGCAACAAGTGCAACTTCAAACTGGGTTCAGGAGAACTCTTCCCAATCATAAAACCCATGTCTTCAACTTCTAAGACAGCATTAAAGTCATACAATTGATGATATACGTAATATAAGGAGTTTGTTTTGGCCGTCGTCGTCGCGTTGCCGTCCTAAATTCATAAGGTCTCTATGTATAGAGCGTTTGCACTCATTCGCCAGAGACCAACTCAACAAAAGCCATGGCGGCCATGTTGGTGTTCCAGACAAAGGAGTCTAATTAAAATTCTTTTGAATTGGAACACCAACATGGCGGCTGTGACGTCATGTGCAAACGCTCTATAAGACGCGAAAGTTCGTATTCTGCCGTTTTAAATACAATCTAGATGACCTCTGAAGCTCCCATAAGAGTTTATGTTTTCATTTCTTTTGTACAATATTCCGAATTTTATTGTGTTTATGTACCCTAAACTTCTTATCGTTCCAGTTATGCGGTCAGCGCTGGTAGATTCTTGTGATTTCCCTGCACGTGACTTTGAACTCGGCCAAAAATGCTGTCGAGAAATTTAAGGCTGCTTTTAATGTTCTCCACACCAGAATTGTGAGATGCCACGTTGTATGTACTGAATCTTTCATCGTCCTGGGTGTCGTCGAGTGTTTTCTGTAGTATTTTGAACACAGACCTAAAAGTAGTCAAAAAAGAAAAACTGAATGAGTTGTATGGCAATAAGTACACTCTAAAAACAACCTGGTTAAAAATTTCCGGGTTAATCTAAAATTAACCCTGTTTGGGATAACTTAATGTTTCCGACTAAATTTTCTGATTAATTTAACCACAGTCCTGGTTGACTTGATCATAATCCTGGCTAATTAATTTAACCAGGTTATATATATGGTTGAATTAGCCAGATTATGTTAGGTCGATTATAATCTGGTTAATGGTTGATATAGCCTGGTTACATTAACCAGGAATCCTGGTTAAGTTAGCCAGGACTGGGATTAAATTAACTAGAATTGTGGTTAAATTAACCAGGGGCCAGTTGTATCAAGCCCGGTTGTATCAAGCCTGCTTTAATAAACGAGCATGCGCAGGAGTGTTTTATTAGGTTTAAAGCCACGAGCGCGCAGCGCGAGTTTATTAAACGACCTGCCAGTTTATTAAACGGCTTCAAACACGACTACAAATTCAATAGACATACATGTACTGCCTTATTAGTATTCTTTATATAAAGAATACTAATCAGGGCACGACGACAATAGATACTGCCTTATTAGTATTCTTTATATAAAGAATACTAATTAGGAGTGGTTTATCGGGTATAAAGCCACTGCACGTGACATATTATGGTTGACATGATTTGCCAATAAGCTTATGAATTATTAATGAGTGTTTGAAGCTCAAAATAGAAAGCAAGTCTATAGATTCATTCAACAACCAAACTAAAAGTTTTGAACCTTAATAGAACGATAATGTGTAAAACTACATATTTCACGAGAGGGAAAAGAGTGTTATTTAATTTTTGACTTATCCACCGTTTAAGCTAAACGGGCTTGATACAACCGGCCCGAGGAACAGTTATCCCAAACAAGGTTAGGGGCGACGTCCATATTCAAGTTGCCACGCAAAACGTCAAATTGACGTTTTGCGTGGGTGGGTGGGTTAAAACTGTAGTGCTGTGACGTTTTTACCGTGGCAATATGAATATTTTCCAAAACTACAACGCTATAATTATATAATTTAATTATGTAGAATATATATTAAAAATAACCGTCAATATTTATTAAAATAGTATCAATACGCGATGGAAAAGTTAATATATTTACACTATTTTATCAATATTGCATATTAAAAAAGAACTTACGTGGTAGAATGTTTGTCTTTCTTGTTTCCTACATATTTATACACGTTTATAATATTAACCCAGAGGATATATTAAAAGGTATATATAAAACTTTGATACTTGGAGCGTTCAAACCCAATCTAAGTTTTGAAATATTACGTCACACTTGACGTTTTCAAGGGTGGGTGGGTGGGTTGTCATAAAAACGTCAATTTGACGTTTTGCGTGGCAACTTGAATATGGACGTCGCCCCTTAATTTTAGATTGTCATGCAGGAACTTTTTAGCCAGCGTGTTTTTAGAGTGTATGATTTTTTTATGAAAAACGCCATGTGGAGCTGGTTTAAACAAGATAACAAAATTCAAGGTAATATTTCGACTTTATTTCAAAGTCATTGTCAGACCTATTTCAATTTTTACCTTGAATTTTGTTATCTTGTTTTAAATAGCTCGAATCTTGAGTTTACAAGATCTTACAGGTAAACTACGTGAAGCGTTCCTCTTTTAACCTGAAGTTCAGGCCCTAATTTGAAATAGGGCCTGACACAAAACCTGTCTAGACCGTGGGACGCCCACATGTTATTTTTAGACACAACATGCAATATGATTGACAAGTGTTATAGATTTCGTTACACAAAAAAATTATATTCTCATGAACATGTCCGCAGAGTGTGCATTTTGCTTTATAATTAAACTTAAAAATTCAAGGTACTCTTATATAAATAAGATTCAGACAAAGATTTAATTAGTCAGTTCTGTGCACGGCTAGACTGCCAAGCTTTCTCAAGGTCTCAACTTGCTGGACGCGGATATTAGGGATATACTTTATTAAAACGGGCTAACAACAGCAACAATGAAATTCTCAATCGTACCACGAAGAAGGCGATGTAGCTCAGAAAACAACGCCGGTAGGACCTGATATTAAAAATAAGACTTTTGCCGGCGAAGCCAGTTGGCAAAACATCTTGGCTGTCAACAACAAGCTTTCGAATACATGACTAGTTTGGCTGTTCTTTCGGCGTCGTGTGTCCAAAATTCGTCCAAGATTTTGATAAAGCCCTTTCAAAATACTGTTTGTTTGATTTATTTTCTGCCATAAAGCATAAAAGAAAAAGAAATTCGAAGAAATCGATAATGGAATTTGTACGTGCGTTTGACCTTTATATTAATTGTCGCCTTGACCGAGCTATTTTTAAAACTGTTGTTTATGTAAACTTGCAACCAATCAAAATCCTTCATGATGCTGATCAACCAATCAGATTTCCCGTCCACCAGGTGGACGGGAATCTCACACTTTAGATAGGTTTTGTGTCAGGCCCTATTCTGTGATTAGGGCCTGAACTTCAGGTTATTCCTCTTTTGACTTCGTAACTCATTTGGAATTTTCCTCATTAGCTTTGCAAATTTGAAAAACTCTTTGCAAATCCCTTGAGGTAACTTGCAATGTTCCTATCGGCTCCCCAAATCACCTAGTCCCAGTCTTTTCATGTGAAAAAGCGCTGAATATTAAAAAAATAATAAAAATAGAAGGCCTAGGTCGAGGCTGGGCTGTTGCAATATTCCAATGCAAACAAATTTCATTTTAAATTTTCCGAACTTCCTGTTTTAATTTCCTGTTCTGTTTTAATTTTCCTTTAACTTCCTGTTTTAATTTTCCTAACTTCCTGTTTTAACTTCCTGTTCTGTTCTAAGCGTTGTTATTGGTCGATTATTTTTGTTACCCAATTGCAACGCCCAGAACAGAACAGGAAGTTAGGAACTTGTAACAGGAAGTTAAGAACTTCTAACAGGAACTGAGGAAAATTTAATTGGCTTTTAGCAACATTGCAAATTTCCTCAAGGGATTTGCAAGGGAGTTTTTTAAATTGCAAAAGTAATGAGGAAAATTGCAATCAATTTAGAAACTCAAAAGTCCCAGGAACGCTTCACGTAGTTCACCTGTAATGTTTGGAGTGTGTTTCATCATATAATCTCACACTCATTAATAATTCATGAGTAAATTAACCAACAATATTGCTTTATTTTGCTCACATGATAGTACTGGATACCTGATGAATTACATTGATCTAGTCCTAGGACTAGATCAAAGTTAATTCGGTCCTTGGACTGGATCAAAATGAATTAAATAGTGATTTATTCGCATGAGATGTCATTTCAAATCCTCCAATTCGGACTGGACTAGATTTTAAGTTCTCGCATTTTGATCCAGTCCTCTGCTTCGCCTCAGTCTTGATCAAATTGCGCGGACTTGTAATCTAGTCCAGTCCTCTTCAGTCCTCATAGTCGGATTTGAAATATTACTTAAAGAAGAAGAGCAGAGAGTGGGACCGGTTGTTCAAAGACCCCATGCATATGGAGGGTCCTTTATATCAATGTTAAATATCTCACCTGGACTTTTCAATAGCCTTCACTTTTTCTTCAACAACCAATTCCTTAGCATTCTTCCCTTCCGCCTCATTTGCCGTTAGTCTGTTTCCATTCTCTTGGAAAATGTTGGCAGCTACATTCTTTGCCAAAGCCTCTTGTGGAAAGTATTCTTCGTTGACATTTTGTATACCTTTGACCAATTCTTTGGCATCTGCTTCGCACAGCTTGGACAGAACATTTGGTCGAGATGTCCTCCCGCTTGGCTGGCATTTCCAGTAATCTAGGAACTGCCTTCCTTTCGCTCTGGAGTGGCGGACGTAAGCGATAAGCATTTGAAAAGAGAAATTTTCGGGGTCTTGAATGCGTCGTCTCATCTCGTCAAGAGTTATAGGATAAACAACTTCCTTATCCAGCCATAACAGGCTACCGACACGAGTAATAACATAGTCTGGAAAGATTTGGTCGGTCAGACTTAAGTGGATGGGACTCCCCCCGTCTGGGCTCTTTCGTTCAATCGGTAAAATCTCTTTGCTTTCTTCTGGCTTTTCATTGGTCTGTGAACTTGTCACATGATTATCCGGAGCTTTTTGATTGGTTGGACTCTGACTGTCAGATAATTGGCAGGAAATTGGACTTGGTGTTGAGTCAACGATGATAAGTTCCTCTTCGGAGTCGCTACTACTTGCTCTTTTCTCTACGTTTATTGGTCTTTTTGCTATTTTCCGTTCTCTTTCCTCACTTATTCGTCGGATTTTGGCAGGAGGATCGTAGACCAACGGTTCGTTCACGGAAAAACCGCAAAATTTTATTTTTGTATTTCGCGATAATCCGTGGTTTTTCGCTTCATTTTCGGAAACTTCTCGGGCAGTGTTCGTATCAACCCGTATCAAAAGTGGCGGTTCATCTGGAATTTCGACCACTGTCGGCAAACGCTTTGGATTTTGGGACAAAAGTTTCTGTCCCATTCTTCGTTTCTTAGCAACAATGGTGTCCGCGCCTCGCGACATGAATGGCTCAGACGAAAGGCAAATAAAATTTCCTGGGTTTGGATCATGCTTTGATTTGGGTTCACTTCTGATTCTGGTAATCTCGGAAGTAAATGGACTGTCGAGAATCGATTTCTCATCACCATAGCTAGCCCAGAAATCCGGTATTATTTTCTGAAATAGCTGTTCTTGTTTACGTGACTTTTCATTTTGATCAGGTGAATATGCTAAACGTTCACGTGACTGTTCGCCTTTGTCACGTGATGTTACTTCTTGTTCACGTGTTTTCCTGAGTTGTTCACGTGATTTTCCGAGTTGTTCACGTGACTTTTCGAGTTGTTCACGTGAATCCCCGAGTTGTTCACGTGAGTCCCCGAGTTGTTCACGTGATTGTTGTGACTGTTCACGTGATCGATCTCGTCTTTGGTCTTCAGGCGCAATGTGAATAATCTCCGGTAATGAGTTGTGTTCATTGAAGCGAATATTTTTATCCGAGTGCTTTCCATTCAAAGGTTCAGACAGATGAAACCCTTGAGTCAGATATCGGGGTTTTGGCCTGACAACAGCGTATTGGACTAGAACATTGTCACTTAGGCTGCGTTGACGTTTTATCGATGGTGCGTTCTGAAAAGGCGAGTCAAATCTTGCGAAGAATTCATAATCGCTTTTGACTGCATTCATTAATTCTTGAACCTCTGTAGAGGCACGTCGTTTTCTGTCCATCTGTTAAAAAAAAGAAGATATGGTGCTCAATTGCTAGTGCTACATGCTGCCACCTAGTTTTGTTGGTCATATAATCAGGGGCGGATCTGCAGGGGTTAAATATCATGGTTAAATATGTAAACATGTCGAGGTTCTTATACAACCATATTTTCAAATATACTGTACTTTAACAAGCAAATTTACTGTACTGTGCTACAACAACCGTCCAGTCACGCATACGTGATAAAAAGCCGCTATAAACTTTATAAAGAAAAGATGATGTAAAGCGTACCAGAACGGCGAGCATGCAGATTCGGCTCCCTATTAATGCTCATCCTAAGACTTAACCGAAACTGTGCACTAAAGTTACTATGTCGCTCTTTCTTGACCCAGACCATCCAGAACTCCGCAGATGGTACGATCTTCGTGAGTCTAGTTAAACGTTCTATCCCACATATATAAGTGGACGTGAATCTGCGCCAAGCTACTGTTGCAGTTGTTGAGTGTAGTTTTATTGAAGTTCTGCTTGATACTATATATTGCTGAATTTGCAGATGTTGTCGTTGTTATACGCCATCGTGTTGCACAATTGCTGACTTCCAATTAAGAGTGGGCGGTTAATTAAGTACATCACTGCATGATCAAACTCGCATGATCGCTTACGAGTTATTGTGGTTTTGAGTGATCTTTCAAAACTTTGAATGTACCTGTGCAAAATTCCTACTGTCAATACTGTGATCAGAGAAACTTTGATAATGTATCTTCGATGCACAGTCTTCAGGATCTGTTCGTATTTGGGGTTAAGAATAAGGATTTTAAGGATTTTGTGATGGTTTGGGCAGTTGGCTAGCCCGAATTTTCAGATGGCCAGAAGTGGGTTGCGCCTAATTATGGGTTAGATTTAGGTTGTTAACATGAAAATTAACCATATTATCAATGCGATCTATAATTATATGTGTCAGTCTATCTATGTACAGCAAAGGCGACAAGATGGCGGCCATACAAGTGGCTAAAGAACTTTAATTCTCTTCGCAGAGGGAGACTGTCTTTTGAAATTTTCCATTAGATTTACTCCACTGCTTTCCAGACAAAGATAAAATTCTGTCATGCAGAGCGAATGCCGCAAACAGGAAAACCACATTCACTCTAAAGAGACTGCGATGAGCCAGAGGCGACCACCGCCCCTCTGCACTTTGGACAACTAAATTCTACTGAAATGCTTTTCAACCGTGAAACTCGGATAGCATTGAACACGGAGTCGAACCTTAATACAAACACCTAATTAATGCCGAGCCTGATCTTACTGTTTTAAGGGACCGGTCATAAAGTAACTGCTAGGGTGAACTGGAGTGATTTGGGATGGGCCATGGAAAATCTTTGGGTAGTTTCGATGGGCCGCCAATTTTTTTGTATGTCCATGGTTGGGCCACCAAACAAAAACCCATGCATGTCTACTTCAAAAAATAAAGATATTAATAATAAAAGTAAGCAAAACTATCCAAATTATCAAATGCAAATGATGCTATTGGAGCCAGTTCTTTGTTTATACAACAACAACAACAACAAGAAGTGGTCGAATCACAGTAAATACAATCAATTGGGGAGTAGCTCAATATCAATATGTTGGTCAGTCTTGATGGAATTATGTATGTCCATACAGTGCCATGTATATTTACAATGTTCATACCTGCAGGGTTTTTTATTATAAAAGTGTATTTTCCCAATTTAGATTGGATGGGTTATAAAATTTTTTTTTGTAAGATTAGATGGGCTTTGAAATTTTTATCTACATCCTAAGATGGATCACCAAACTTGTTGGCAAAATTTGTGATTTACCTCCAGCCCACCCTAGCAGTTACTTTATGACCAGTCCCTAAACTCATTTTAAAAAGTTCGTTCCCCGATCGATGAGCTACACACGTAGAAACGCACAAGTTGTAACAAAAACTTGCAGCAGATTTCACTTGTAGCAATGCTGTTCCAACAACTTGTTGACAACAAGGTTGCTATAACAAGGTTGTCGAGCTCAACAGACTTGTCACAAATTTGATCCAACAACCTGTTATCGTCCTGCAATTTAACAATTTATCCACAAGTTGTGAGTGACAATCTTGTAGCAACTTATTAAAATAACAACATCAGTTACAACTTGTTGACAAGCTTGCTACAAGCCTGTTGCGAACACATCTTGTTAACAAGTTGTGAGTGACAATCTTGTAGCAGCTTGATAAAATAACAGCGTTGTTACAACTTGTTGACAAGCCTGTTGCGAACACATCTTGTTGACAAATTGTGAGCTTTTAACAAGTGTAGACCAAGTTGGGTTAAAAAGTCACAAACCATGGATTAATTAAAGTTTTACAAGAAATGAAATTTTCTGAAATAGGTTTTAAAGCTATGTACTGTATCTGTATCCAATATCCTATTCACATGTTCCAGTCATGTGTGTAACTTGGTATGTGTAACATGCATTGACGTTGTATAGACGCAAGTACTCTGATGAAGCGTGAAGACTAGTCTTTCAAATCTTAAACACTGAATTTCCGGCCGTTTGTCATGCAAAACCTGAGACCCTTGCACATATTTTAGATACATTGTGGCGATGTTGCCTTACATGTACACTCGGTGACACCACAACCCCTTCCCACATCCACCATCCTCACTTTTCTAACGATCTACCCCAAAGATGATATTACAACAATAGGTCGCAGACCAACTGCATGCAAGTGCTCAAATTACTTTGCCAAATTTTCTTTGTTGCAATTTTTTCCATGACAAGTACACTTGTGTTTTTGATGTTACATTTGATGTTACTCGATCTGAGTGTCAGAGTAACATCAAAAACATTTTATAATATAGCATTTGTAAATTCTGAACGCTGATTGGCTAAGAGCCGTGTTGATATAACTCAATGTCAATACGGGAAATTTTTCGCCGCTTTAAACACGCAAATTTTTCTTATTCTTCGGGTTTTTGACATTGCTATATTATAAAAAAAATATAAAACATTTTTTCCGTATTGATATATAGTTATATCAACACTCGTGGAAGTTGGGAAAACTCGAAATTGTATATGAAAACACTCCGGCGTCGTGTTTCCATACAATTTCTCGTTTTCCCAATTCCACTCGTGTTGATTTAACTGTATATCAACACGGAAAATGTTTTATATTTGTTAAATATTGTCTATATTCACCTGAGTACATAACATCAAAACACACACAAAAAGGACGAGCAAAAATTGCCAAAACAGACGAGCAAATGAAACTTGTCATATGAGAACTTAGTTTATCATAGTTTATCATATGAGAACTTAGTTTATCACTTAGTTTATCATAGTCATAGAAAACTTATTCGTCTGTAACCAGCTTAAGGTGGCTCCCTACAGTTCTCTAAAATTTTAAGTATTTTAGGTAACCTTCGCTTTCAACCAAATTTATATTGAATACACTTAAGACAGGGCAATATGATCGTTTCCAGAAAAGAAGTCTTGTTCTGTCGATATACAAACCGAATAGGAACAGTGTCAAGTCATGACGTTTTATTTTTTCTCTTTTATTGTCTAATTTTACAATCAAACGACAATATCTTTTTTTGCCAACTTTTTGACAGCCACAATGGACAGTAAATTGGTAATGAGTCTATATATTATATTCTTTATCTCGTGAGGAAAATAATATGATCCAATGCACGTGTGGAATGTCTCCCCATTAGGTTCCAAATACGTACTGTACCGAAAAAAGATTTAAACTACAGTGTATGGCCAATTTCCCGACACCATGGCAGACCTTAGGGCGAACATATAGGGAAATATATGCGAAAATAGGGCGGCATATATGTTTGCGATCAAATTAGACGGTTCTTTTTTTCCTCAAATCAACAGTTTGCAGTCATGCTTACAAATTTGCAAAATATATTTTGTAATGTTTTCTCAACATTGTGGACTTTGTATAGTAAATATACCAATTAAACAAAGTTTATTATAGAACAGTCCACTTTTTAGTCTCCAAAGTAGCAAATTAAAAACACCCCGTTGTCTTTTAGAGTCTGGTATCATGTGGTTTCTTTGTCTTGCATAATAAAGAATGAACTTCATAGCTTCTCAAGGGTATAGGCTATAGCTTTACGATATGCATGGTTCAGTGAATGTTTGAGAGCTATTGATCACGGATATTTCAATTTCAGCAACAGACTAATCCAGCTCTTCTCATAATGAAAATGTCGAGAAAAAGAGCTGGAAAGCTTGTCAAATTGATTATTCGTTTTCTCTGCAACAGGACAGAAATCCACGATTAATTAATTTTCCTTTTGGAAGAGGTGAAAATGGGCGATTTCGACAAACAATTTTTATCGGAGTGAAAAAGTGTCATTCAATAGCCAAAAGTATCGTCTTTATGACTATATGTCTATGAAAAATTATGTTCAAAGGCGTGTTTTGATACACCCTATACATGAAGTAATCAGTATATAGACTTGCTTGTCAGATCTTATTTAGGCTAATTTAGCTCGTTATAGTTTAATTATGCCGTGAGTCAGGAAAATTTGTTCAACTTGCAATAATTTAGTGATGTGTATAACCACTCGCGTTTGCCATGGTTATTGACTATTGTATTGTCCACTTTAACCGCAAAAACTTCTCAGTTTTAAAAACCCTCGCTATAGTATTAAAAAGAAAGCTAACTGGTCACATTGAATTTCGTTCTAGAATGTAGCTGATTATTAGGTTCTTTTTCATTGGTTTCGAAATGAATTCGGTCACTGAAGCAATTGTAACAATTGTCACTATATTACTCATTTGTATTCATGTTCGAACGCTGCGTTGGTACACTTCACTGCATTCGCCGCTTCGAACACGTCAACCGTCAAATTGGTTTAAATGTTCCACCGCTTTGAACTGTTCGACGAATTCTGCCGCATTCCTTTCTCATATCCTTATCTTTTAAACAGAAGTATAAGTTTTAACCCACAACAGCGTCCTATATTATCACAAACTGTAACAAACATTGATTTTGCAACTATTTTACATGTAAATTCATGAATAATTGTTATTTTCTTTGAGTTTGCAATTAACCGTTTCAGTTCTAATACTAACAGCATTTCATACTTTCTTGCAAAAATATCACAACTGAATTAAACACTGCAAGTTTCTGAATCAAAATGTCAGCTTTGTTACCGCAAAGTACCCAATATTTTCGCATTTAAACAGAATGCTTGGTTTAGGGGAAAATTCTGTCTTATGCTATGCTCAGCCTACCGTATCGGTGGTTAAGCTTTAATTTGAATATAGATTATAGTTGTCTGTGTTTGTAGTATTACGGTGGGGAAAACGTAAACAAATCCGTTGTGGGTTTTAAAGTTTGACACTGTCGTAGGAAAATTCGCTTCTTTACTTTTGCGGAAAAAGAATTGCCAAAGCACTTTCCAAAAACGAACAGGTCATGTCAATAAGAGTTGTTTAGTCATGTTAATTTTAAGAATTTAAGTTTGTTTTACTAATCTGTGACTCGTATATGTTCCGTTTATAATCGTTTGTAACTGTATGTATTGTATACACCTTTCTACCTTAATTCTTGAATATCATGTACCATTAAACTTTCTCATCTATTACTAGTATTACTAGAAATTAGCTACTATCTATATTGGTTAACTGTATTGAATTCATATGAACATGTCTGCGACCAACTTAGCTTATTTGATTTTACTGTAAATCCAACCAGCAAAGTATCACTATCTGTAAACTAGATCCAGCGAAAAAAATCAAATTTTAAACCGCAAATTTAAATTCAACTGCAGACGTTGGGTTTGTATCTCAAGTAATTGAAGTGTTTCCCTGATACAAATATCTGGCATTTAAAAACCCTAAACGACCGAAGCTATCTTAATATAACCGACAAACCACCACGTTCTACTCAAAAATACACAAAATCGACATACCTGTGAGTTCTGGTCACATTAACATGGAATTATAGGTCAAGACCCCAAATTTTCAAGCTGCGAACAAAAGTGCTTCTGTGCTGGACCATTGATGCCGCATTAATGTTGCTTCACTGACTGCTTTACGGATGATTTAGCCATGCACTAGTGCTTGTGATGACGTACCAAGCAATACGCATGCGCTGTAAAATGTGACGAAGGTGAATTGAATTACATTGAAATGGGATTGAATTATCGAAATCCATGTTCGAAACTGATGTTGTATTAAAGACTTGTGGGGCCCGATTCACACTAGCGATTTAAATCACATTTTTTCTGTCTAATATTGACTATACTAAGCACATATTTTTTCCATATTGACAATGATGGTGCAATTACATGCAACCTTTATCCATTTTATCTATTAGTTATATTTTGCATTGTTCAAAATTCTCACAATCTATGATCATACCCGGTCATGACGAGAACAAGAATTGCATGAGAGTTGATTAAAGTTGATGAAAGTTGAGAAGCGAGAGTTTGCGTGAGAGTTTTCTCATACCCGGTCAAACTAGAACAAGACCACAGAATAAAGATCAGTAACAGAAGGGCCACTCAGCGGTGCAACGTGTCCTCGTTTTTTTATGCAAAAATATGCAGTTTACTGGCCAGAAGGCGGAGCAACCAGCCAGTACAGCGTGTTTATTGGCGAGAAAATGTCATTGACTGGCTAGGAAAATGGCGGCCAACATGCGTAATGCGACACGTGCGAGGACAGAAACTTCAAAGCTTCCGCCGTAAGTAGCCCTTCTATATGGATCTTTATTCTATGACAAGACTGGGTTGCATGAGAGTCGATGAAAGTTGACTGGATATTACGGCGCGATGCGATAGCGAAAACGCTTATCAACTCCCATTAAAATTTGAACCATGCAGTTCAAAGTCGATGAGAGCGCGTCAGAGTCGATAATAAGAGTTGGCGGTCAAATATGAGCGAGAGTTGCTATTCTCAAGAACTCTCATCCTCATCTGCCGAGGTCTGTACACTTGTATTCTGCATGTGCAAACCACATGTAAAATCCACATGCATACCTAATTGGCCATTCAGAAACACATCAATGGCAGTATTCAGGGACGTAGGAACCGGGGGGCAGGGGGGCAGCCCCCCAAGTTTTCAAAAGTGCCCTTTTTTCGGTGGCAAAGTGCCCTCCTGACTACGTGAAAAATGTCGTTGAGATCGCCTTTTGCCTCAATAGCCTTTGATTTATGATTGCATTTATTTTAGTATTTTGGTATGTCCGGAAAAATTTTGTTATTTCGGAAAAAATTATGATATGTCCGGAAACATTTTGGTATGTTTGCGAAGATAATGATATGTCCGGAAAATTTTTTGAGTTGACCTCCCCTCCCCTCGGTTCCTGTCTGGAGTTCACGTCCTATAACCGAGCTAGGCTTTTCCCCGCGCTTAAACAGTAGTTAATCAGAGGATAAATTCATTCAAGTTTTTGTGCAAGTGTGGACCGGCTCCACATGACTTCCAATGAACCGGCCTCGGTTAATTTGAGATCGCTCTATTATTAGATCTATCTCAAAGTGTGCCAAGTATTCCCATTATCATTGGTGTTCGGTGGTTCCCAACAAAGATTTCACTATGTTCGCTTCTTCCTATTTTTTTGCTTTGTTCTATGCTTAATTGTTCCTTCGGCCTCGTTCCCTGGAAACCCTTCAGGGAATAAACCATTGAAACAGATAAATCATCCATAAATATAGCCTGCGTGCGGTCTAACGCCTGCATCGGTAAAAGCTCACTCGCACTCAAAGAGTGGCGGTTCAATCTGAGCTTCCCTTGAGTGTCAGTGCTGTTTTTGAATAGCTGGAGGGTTAGTGTCGTACTTACTATGTGACTACTCACGCTCCAGCTATTCAAAAACAGCATTGATACCAGGGTTTATTTTAAGAAACGTTTAGAACTGCACATATTAGGGATGTTACGAAGCATCACGTGTTTGACTGGGAGGTCAAAGGATGTTTGACTGGGGGTCAAAGGATTTTTTATCTACAGTATGTTTAAGGTTGTAAATTTGTAGTTAACGTTGCAAATTTTGATAGATTCTTAATTAGTGTATAGGTGGCAGAATTAAAGCCGCGTTCACACTAGCGGCCCAGGCCTGGCCTGGACCTGGCCTGGGTCTAGGTGTGAACGGGTTTTACCTGGCCTGAGCCTGGCCTAGGCCTAGCCTAAGTCAAGAAATCCAGACCAGCAAATGTAGGTGGCCTGGACCTGGCCTTGGCCTGGCCTGGGCCTCGATCATCACTGGTGTGAACGGGTTTTTCCTGGGCCTGGCCTGGGCGAGGCCCCGTTACCATCGCAATATCTGCCCACGATAAAAACTGGTCAGATGATTGTCATACAATTGGAGGGAAAAACATTCAAAGCGCAAAATTAAATACTTTAGTGGAACACAAGGACGTTTATATTGACGCCTGATTGCTTTGGCCTGGAGTTGGGCGTCAAGCCAGTGTGAATGCGTCACAATTGGCCCAGGCCAGGTCAAGGCCAGGTCCAGGCCAGGTCTGGGCCGCTGGTGTGAACGCGGCTTAAGATGTAGTTGGGTGGGGCCAGGCAAACTCGATTCCGTGTGGGGAAGCTACAGCTAGAGGGTGTCCCTCCAAATTTTGAATTTAGAGGCTCGTAGGTTCTGGCAAAGATTTGTTTCACCCAACCACCCACAAAAACTGTTTCAAAACACGTAACTGGGAATACTCAATATATAACCTTAGGCAGCAAAGAATATTAGCTTCTCCCACTCTGATCTCTTTTGGATAGCTTTGCTCGCCCCAATTTTAGCTCCTGTTCCATTACCCTCAGACGTATGTGATTTGTGAGCAAAATATGAGGGTCTGGTGGTCCTCTCCCAGAAAACATTTAGATTTTCGATGTTCAATGACAGCATTTCTGGCATTTGGAGCATCCACAAGGAAAACGAGTAAATGAGAAAACTGTTTTGAGGTTATATTGTTGTTAATTTGGTGACTGCACATTTGAGTTTTAAGAACTGCACAAAGGGGTTTAGAACTGCACATTTTGTGTAGAACTAGTACTGCACGTTAAAATAAACCCTGACTGACACTCAAGGGAAGCTCAGATTGAACCTCCACTCTTTGAGTGTGAGTGAGCTTTTAGAATGCAGGCGCAAGACTTGGACCATAAAGAGGCTCGTCTATCTGATGGATACGATTACAATTAAGTCTATAAACTGTGGATTAGGACTAGCATTTCTATGGTGCAAATTTACACGTAGATAGGATTAAATGCGCTTTACATCGAGTATAACACGCTCACCTAATTATACTTAGCCCATGGATTATCAATAGTCTATCAATAATCCATGCTTAGCCTAGATTATTTTATATTTGCTCCATCTTCATGTAAGCAAATGTTTAAATTCTTATCTTCTATTCGACAACGGGCTCTGACTAGAGCTTGCGCATATGATCTTCAACCCCCCTTCCCGCGTACTGACTCTGGTAAACGAACATTTCTGTACAGTGCTTCCATTCTTTTTAATTGCTTAGATAGCGATTGTAAGCAACTTGCTGTTTCGCCATCTCTTCATATACTAACGCCAAACAAAAAAAAATCGTAAAATCTTTCTTAACAAGCTTAACCTTACTAACCATATCGAAGATCTATTTTGTATAAATTGTAAATATTTACTAAATTGTAATTGTATTCATTACTAATTATTTTTTTTTCTCAAATGTAAATAGTCGTAATCTTTAATACTTTTTATGCCTGTAAATATCAAAATAGTGCGAGGGCCGTATGTTAGATAACTTTTACGACTTTCGACAGAGCGTTGACTGACTCTTTACACATGAATCCGTAGCGAGAATCGAATCTACGAACTCAGAATTACGCTTGCTCTAATGACTACGGCACCGAAATCCCGTCTATTCGTTGATACATGTACATATTAGTCAGTTGAACCCAAGACAAACTATTAAAACAAACTAGCTAGAATCGTGCGATAAAGATGGATTTATGCTGGCCTCATTAAGACAAGAGACAGATCATTCGTCAAAACATACATCAGCTATCTGACGGATCTTTCCACTTAGTTAGAAAAACTCAATGGAGATATGGATTCAAAGTGGTTCGATTTACACAAGAGAAAGATCATTTGTCGCAATACGGAGGATCTGTCTTGGTGTTAATTTTAAGACGAACTACAAGCCCCTATGCTTTATTGATTCAGGGGACAAATCTTGCCTCATACTCGCCTAAGTGGTATATATGTATTGATATTTATTTCTGTAATATCTATTTCTGTACATAAAGAGACACCTTTTTGAAAGGCATCATATCCGTCTCTTTTTGAGAGTCATCACTTCTTTTGATGACGTGTGAGCACAAAATGATTTACGTATCTACCTTGGCAATGGTTCTGGGATCAAATCATGCATGCCTGATATATATTTTCCGTCTTATACCGTATCTCTACACAATCGATCATCAGTTTTTGTGGGAAGAAAAGAAGAACTAACCATATAGGCAAACTGTCCATTTTCTGATTTTTCTAGGTTTGTGTTTTTCCTATAGTTGTGTGTTTACGATAGACAAGTCATCGGTCAGGCAATTTATCCGTGCGACGGATGCACACATTGGCAATTTTACATGGAACATAGGCGTACCGGGCGGGGGGGGGCGGTATCCCCCCCAGTTTTGGGCAGTCGGGCAATATTCGATCAACAGTCGGGCAATTTTGGTTTGTAATAAAAATAAATGGGACAAATTCAGTCAATTTAGTCGAAAATTCAGTCAATTTTGTGGTCAATTTTGTGATGTTTGGAAAATTTGTGTGATGTTCCGAAAAATTTTGTCGGGCAAATTTCTTTCCGCCCCCCTAATTTTTTCCTTCCCGTACGCCCATGACATGGATTGATCATGGGAAAAGACCATGCATGATATTATTGATATTTCCCCTTGATTGTTCGTTTAAAGCTGTGTTTGACATGTTAGTTCATTGACGAGGGTCTCCCAGGGGGGAGTCTGTATTCTCGTGTTCTCTTTGAAATTTTCCCCTTGTTCCACTCAAAGATTTAATCACCATGATGTTCCCTTGTCCCCCCCCCCAGCTTACATGTTCCCTTGTTTCCTATCCGTATCTATCTATCTATCCTTGTTCCCGTGTTATCATTGCAAAATACCCCTTGTTCCCTGCGCGACCCTCATTGACGAACCAAATCACGTTAGCACTATTTTCCATCCAGCAAACTGACCTGATGTCATTTTCGGAAGATGGAAGAGGTGTTAAATGGCTATGTAACTAACCAAAACCCTACCCATACTCTAACCCTAACCGCAACCCTAACTAACTCTAACCTCAACCCTAACCGAATTAATTAAAAAATCCAAAAAGAAACGACTTTAGAAAATCGATAGGGCGGTTTGTTGGATGGAAAATAGTGTTTACCAATCATCACACGCCATTAATCTATAATAATAATAATGATAATAATGTATGATCTATTTTGTGCCCAAGTTCATCCAGACACTGTAATTGTATAGCTGAGCCGCTGAGGGATGAAAACTGAGCTATTGGTAAGTAAACAGAATGAACCAATAGCTTTGCTCAGCTACATATATGATGTACATCTGCTCTGTGGCTGATATACCAACACCATAGAAATAATAGATATAGAATGCGTACTCCTATCTTTTCTCAGTGAAAAATTTGTCTCCACAAAATGGCGGATTTATAAGGGCATTTTAGTTCCCAGACTCCAAGGCGGCAGGGAATTTCCAGTGAACTCTATATATATATATATATATATATATATATATATATATATATATATATATATATATATAGAGAGAGAGAGAGAGTTCACTGGGAATTTCAGTGGGAATTTCGCGCGGTTGCAGAGAGTGCAAATTGTTTTTTCAAATACAAAGCCGTTGCAAAAATTTTTATATCGAGACTTAAAATGGAAAAAAAAAGTGAAAAAAGTGTCTAAAAACCCATTCTAGTGGGCTTTTTTACGAAATGCAACAGTTCTGAACAGAATATATACAGAAATCATCGTTTAAAAATAAATTTTCAACGTTGTTGTGCAAGCCAAAACAAAACCCGAAAGATCAAGACAAACTCAAACTCAATAGGTATGTTCTATAAATATTTCAACTTTTTTATAATATAATATAAATGAAGTTCAGTAATCTTTTTAATCTTACACAATTACTTTTCATATTTTTCTGTGTCAGTGCTTAAGCTTGAGGCAACGCTTTTGAAACCATAGTTTTCGACGATTATTTAGACAATTTACAGTCTATCGACAACTAAATATTTTTGTTTCAAAAAAATAAAAAACCTTCGCTTACATCAAAGAAAAACGAAACCCGACGAAGAAAGAACTATCGTTTTGTAATCTTAAAAGATATTAGCAAAACAGTGACAGTAGTGACGTTCAAAGCATGCAAAAATGTTTTATGAGTAAATTTCGAGAAACTGGCGAAAATACTTTGTTTACAAGGCTGCACGATTTTCACCGTTTTTGTAACTGCACATTTGCTTTGACAGTTTGTGCCTTCAAAAAACTCAAAATCTATCCCCAACTACAAATTAGACAACAAGATAAACGTTTTGGCGATGAAAATGTAGTTTTAGCTTTGTTTATACTTTGTAGCTATATAGTTTGCACTCCTAGTCAAATTCAAACATGGCGGATTTATAAGGGCACGCATGAGAAAAAGTGGAGACATGATTCGTGATCAAGTACGCATTCTATATCTATTATTTCTATGACCAACACACAGACAGATAAACAGACACACACACATTTTGCTGAGTCAGCATTTCAGACGAACTTGAATTCAATATGGCGACTGGCACAAGGTAAATTTTGAACATTACTGTATATGACTTTAGTTCGAGGTTAAATCGATACATAATTGTAATTTATCCTCACATTTTTTTATTTACGATAAATATTTTATTTCCTTTACAGCAAAACAGATGTACTTTGCAAGTAAGTGGGCTTTTAAGTTTTAATTTGTAACAAATTTTACCGTTAAATCTGAGCAGTTTTGATATATAAAGTCCTGTAGAGTTCGCTATATGCGGCTAATATTTAACTCAGATATTGGTATATTAAGTACAGGTCGTTAATTTTATTATTTAAATGTAACTTAAAGGAATTTTTACAGAATTACTTGCTAGTTTCTATTAACAGATCTTCAAAGTATTTGTGTTCGGAGACTCATGTTTACAGTATTAATAGTTAAAAACACGTGTGCTTATTTTGAAATTATATCACATCTCTTAATTCTATCTCTTTGCCATTAAATACAATGAAGATTACTGCATGTAATGAAATAATTAAGCACATTTTCTCCCTGTTGCTTTACAATTATTTGCTGCACAATATTATTAAATGCACAGATACACATTTAAAAACATCCCAGTGATTGTATTTACATGTTACTCTCGATTTCAATTTGCTCTTGAAATATGACTTTGAATGATTAATGCTTGTTTATAAATTCAGAATGTTTATTGCAAAGTTCCAAAATTTTGTTTGGAAGTAAAGTTCATTCCGATGATTGACGACGATTCAATAAGCAATTTGATTGTGGCTGACCGATTTTAATACACAACACAACGTTTGCCCAAACTTTTTTTACAACTTCAGTTGTACTGTGTAAATCAAGCGCATAACTCGCCTATGATGTTGTAGGACAGTTGTGGACTTGATTTACACAGTAACAATTTTAGGCAAAAGTTGTAAATCGGCCTTTATTTACCTAGCTGATTACAACTTGCAAAACGCAATCATTGGAACAAAGTTCGGAACTTTACAAAACTCAAATTTTTTCTGTCTAATATTACAATGTGGACTATACTAAACACATATTCTTGACAATGATGGTGCAATCACATGCAACCTTTATCCATATATTTATCTATTAGGCCAAATAAAAAAAAATACTTGGTTAGCGTCACCGCCCGCCTCTCGATTTTCTGCCGCCTCTGAATTTTTTTTAATTTTTTTATGTGAATCTCTTCGTTTTACAGCTTAAAACAGTTTAATATTTGAAATTTTTCTCATGCTCAGACCTTCGCGCTGTATACTGATCGATTGGAGCGCGTAGGCTTGGGTATACAAGGTTCTTAAAGCAAAATGGCGGCCTTCGCAACATCAGTACAAAAAATATCACCGATATGGTGGAAAAACCGCCCCCCATCCCCTACAAAAATACTATTAAAAAATGAGTAAAAATTTAAAAAAAATCCCCCCGCCCGCCTCTGAAAATTTGTGAGAGTGTGACGCTAACCAAGTATTTTTTTTATTTGGCTTACTTATATTTTGCATGGTTCAAAATTCTCACATGACAACCTAGAGCTTTGCTTGGCAGTATTGATAGGCCTATTTGTCTGTATGTTCACTTTCTGACATTCAGAAATACATCAGTGGCAGTTGTGGAAAACTATTAAAAAGTTTTTATACCTGATTCACTTATTTATGCTTGTATATCCAGCACATACAGATATTATTTTGTCTTTTAAACTAGAAGCTTTGTCCCGCATGAATTGCGTCGCTGCATTACGCATGCGAAATTACGTCATTCTCTTTCATATTACGTAATATACAACTTAACTGTGTAAATATCCGAAATTCTTAATATTAGGTATAAATATGAAACAAAAACTTGAATTCATGTTGTTACAACTCATACAGACTATAATATTGCGTCAAATCTTGAAATATCTCGTACCGGAAGCTGCCCCGAGTGATTGCACCACAATGAGCAACTATGAATCACGATAATATTCATATAAAGCTGCATGTATTAAGTTCAAACATTATACCTACAATTACAAAATGTTCAAAACACGACAAAGGAAAGTTTACCAAAGATTTTGGCGAGATTTTAGACGGACAAGATAAAAATTATGCCGTAGTTTAGTTTATTTTAATATATCAAGTTCATATCATGGCGACATTAACTTACACTAGCTACCGCAATAGGAAACGAAATATATTCGACTAGACTAGCAGAATGTGTAACGATGTAAGTCGCGACGATGCTGCGAAATTACGTTTCATATCGAAACTATCAGTCGTACTGAAGAGAGTCGACAAAAAGTGCCCAGAAACTACGAGAGAGTCCAAGAAAAACTCCGTTAAAGCAAAGTTCAAGCAAGAATTGCGAGCCGTAGGCAAGGCAACGAGCATAAAAGCCTCGGCGAAAACCGAAATAGACGCCGTGAAAACGAAATTAAAGAAAGATCGCGATGAACTAGTAAGCCATTTTTACAATATTATCGGCACAACGCGAGACGAGAATCGCTTCTGCAGTTTTACGGACTCGAATATAGCTACTACCTCCTCTGTCAGCAATTCGGCCAGCGACTGCGAGCAATGGCTAGACAGCTATGATCAATCCTATGATTATGATTATGATTTAGAATTTTGTGGACGCAAAACCTCAGATTTTTGTGGAACGAAACGCCGGCAACGATATAATTCTAAGCGTGAAAAAGAATTTCATGATCGGAGAAACCAAAACATTTTCTTAAGAAAAGAGCATAAAAAAGCTTCCCGGAATAAATTTTATAACGAACGAAAGAAACGGTTGGCCTTAGATCGCAAAGCGGCTAGCAAGTCAAAATTGGAAGATCTTGGAATAATAGTACAAGAACATGAAACGTTTGACCCAGAATACGAATTCATGTACTTGGAAAATTCTACCGCAGAAGAGTTTGGACTCGACTTTGCACTCTGTGAAGAAAATGCACCCGACGAATTGCAATCGGATATACTCGATTTCCTGTTAGAATTACAAGATCGCGACATCACGCCGGAAGATTATGAGTTTTTGTTGCGACTAGACGAATCGGTGCCGACAAAAACGGTCCCCGACGAGCATGTCGCTAGTTTAAAGACGGATACTGTATTAGAATTACATGTTGATGAACAGTGCGGTGTTTGTATGGAGAATTATGTGATCGGAGAAACACGGAAGATATTGCCATGTGAGCATGTTTTTCACGCGAACTGTATTGAGACGTGGTTAAGACACAACTCGACTAAATGCCCTTTGGACAATATAGAGGTTTAAATTAATAATTTATGCATGTATACATAGGGTTGCTTGAGTAAGGTTTTAATATAGTTTAGTTAAGCATTTTGTAAATATTTTGAAGTAAGTCAATAATTAATTATTTTCCAACAATTTTGTCTGAATTTTATTCTGTAAACCCGCAATAGGGCATTCGACCGTTACACACGCCAAAATCTCACATCTTGTAGCAAGTCTGCCAACAAGCCGTCAATTACAAGTTGTGTTCGCACTGCTTGTCCCAATTTGTGAACAAGTTTGTAACAAGCTGTTAACAAGTCGTTACAAGCTTGTTGATATTGTCAAACTTGTTGCAAGGTTGTTCCAACAAGTCCGATATAGTCATGATACAACAATATTGTTACGACCTTGTGTCGTCACCTTGTAACATTCTTGTTATATCATGACTGCATCAGACTTGCTAAAACAACCTTGTAACAAGTCTGATAATATCATCAAGCTTTTTACAAGTTGTTAACAGCTTGTTACAAACGTGTTGCAACAACTGGGAGCAAGCAGTGCGAAGACAACTTGTTGACAGCTTGTGAACAGATTTGTAACAACTTGTTTGCAGACCTGTAACAACTTATTTGCAGACTTTGTTACAAGCTGTGCGTTTTTACGCATGTAGCCTACATGGAAACGAAGCTTCGTGCTACACACGTAAAAACGCACACGTTGTTACAAGTCTGCAAACAAGTTGTTACAAATCTGTCAACAAGTTGTGTTTGCACTGCTTGTTCCTAGTTCTTGCAACAATTTTGGAACAAGTTGTTATCATACTTATACTGTTATCATCCAACATGGAGAGCGGCCTCATAAATGGGGCAGTATTTATTAATCTACGCAAAGCTTTCGACATGGTAGATACAGATTTGTTATTACGAAAACTTGCAGTTTACAGATGCGATGATTTGACATTAACCTGGTTTAAGTCATACCTGCAAGAAAGAGACCAATGTGTGCACTTTAAAGGAACTTTGTCATCTAAGAAATCTTCTCTGTATGGTGTCCCCCAAGGATGTATTCTAGGACCTTTATTGTTTATAATGTTTATCAACGATCTTCCACTATATGTCAATTCCAACACAGACATGTATGCTGATGATTCGACAATCCATACAAGCGCTAGAACAGTTGAGGAACTCAATAATAAATTAACTGAGGATATGACAAACGTTCAAGCTTGGTGTACTAACAACAACATGGTAATAAATGACGGTAAAACGAAGGCAATGATGATAACAACATCTCAGCGCGCAGCCACATTAAATTCAAATCTACGAGTAGAATTTAACGGTGTCCCGTTAAAGAATACCAACAATGAGAAAGTACTTGGGGTTGTTATGAATGAACGCCTTTCCTGGAAACAGCAGATTGACAAAGTAGCAAAGTCTCTAATTAAAGGAATTCATCTTCTGAGACAGATCAAAGAGTATTTGCCTATTGGTCACCGAGTAATTTACTACCAGTGTTTCTTACAACCTCACATAGATTATTGCTGTACAGTTTGGGGACAATCATGCCATATTATTCGCATACATAAACTCCAAAAGTTAGCTCTGAGAATTATATACGACAAACCGAAGCTAACCTCTTCTGGGCCACTATTTAAAGCTGCTGGAGTCCTGCCTATTCAGCAAAGAGTAATGCTACGAACAGCAATAATGGTATTAGCCTGCGAATACAGACGCCTCACATCGGGCGAAATGTACTGCCCGATATAATGGTATATAAATCATTAAACAACTGGGTACCCAAGTACATAAGTGATATGTTTGTCTTAAAGTCATCAGTGACAAAACGAATTACAAGAAGCTCAGAGAACAACGAACTGTGGATACCGCGAACGAAACTAACAATTAGGCAGAAAACGTTGAAATTCAGTGGTGCAACATTATATAACAGTTTACCACGTGCGACCA